ATCGGGGTCGTCTGTCCCCAGACTGAGGTTCCTGTCCCCAATCTGAGGGTCCTGTCCCCAATCTGGGGTGTCTGTCCCCAGTCTGAGGGTCCTGTCCCCAATCCCAGGGTCCTGACCCCAATCTGGGGTGTCTGTCCCCAGTCTGAGGGTCCTGTCCCCAATCTGGGGTGTCTGTCCCCAGTCTGAGGGTCCTGTCCCCAATCCCAGGGTCCTGTCCCCAATCTGGGGTGTCTGTCCCCAGTCTGAGGGTCCTGTCCCCAATCTGGGGTTCCTGTCCCCAATCCCAGGGTCCTGTCCCCAATCTGGGGTGTCTGTCCCCAGTCTGAGGGTCCTGTCCCCAATCCCAGGGTCCTGACCCCCATCCCGGCATTCCCAGGGGTCCCAGCCCCACATCCCTGTGGACATTCCCGGTGGCACTGGAGGTGTCCCTGTCCCCCCCATCCCCTCCCCCACCCCGGAATTCCCACATTCCCGGCCCATCCATGCCACTGTCCCCTCTGGAGCCATCCCACGGTGTCCCTTTGTCCCCTCCCTCGGTGTCCCCCACCCCGGTGACCCCGGCTGTGCCCCCCAGGCTGCAGGACTTGGAGCGGGATGAGGAGAACCTGGGAGAGAAGGTGAGTCCCAAAATGTCCCCGGTGTCACCTGGCAGTCCCTGTGTCCCCACAGGAAGTGTCCCCTCCGTGCTCCACCTTGTCCCCATGGGAAGTTCTCCTGTGGCCCACAATGTCCCCATGCTGTCCCCTCCATCCTCTGTCCCTTCTGTCCACACACTGTCCCCTCAGTCCTCTCTGTCCCCTGTGTCCCCACACTGTCCCCTCCATCTTCTGTCCCCTGTGTCCCCACACTGTCCCCTCAGTCCTCTCTGTCCCCTGTGTCCCCACACTGTCCCCTCCATCTTCTGTCCCCTGTGTCCCCGTGCTGTCCCCTCAATCCTCTCTGTCCCCATGCTGTCCCCTCTGACCCCTCCATCGCTTTGTCCCCAGTGTCCCCTCCATTGCTTCCTTCCTCTCTGTCCCCTCTGTCCCTTCCATCCCCAGTGTCCCCACACTGTCCCGAATGTCCCTGCCGTGTCCCCTGTGTCCCTGCTGTGTCCCCCATGTCCCCTCATGTCCCCAATGTCCCGTTGTGTCCCCAATGTCCCCGGTGTCCCCAGGAGAGAGTCCTGGAGAAGCTGAGCCTCATCCATGGCTTCCTGCTCCCGATGTCCTCACCATGTCCCCTCCATCCCCAGTGTTCCCACACTGTCCCCAGTGTCCCCCTCATGTCCCCAATGTCCCGTTGTGTCCCCAATGTCCCCGGGGTCCCCAGGAGAGCGTCCGGGAGAAGCTGAGCCTCATCCCCGGCTTCCTGCTCCCCATGCCCTCACCGTGTCCCCTCCATCCCCAGTGTCCCCACACTGTCCCCAGTGTCCCCCCGGTGTCCCCAGGAGAGCGTCCAGGAGAAGCTGAGCCTCATCCACGGCTTCCTGCTCCCCATGTCCTCACCGTGTCCCCTCCATCCCCAGTGTCCCCACACTGTCCCCAATGTCTCCTCGGTGTCCCCAATGTCTCCTCGGTGTCCCCAATGTCCCCTCGTGTCCCCAATGTCCCCTCGGTGTCCCCAGGAGAGCGTCCAGGAGAAGCTGAGCCTCATCCACGGCTTCCTGCAGGCCGAGGTGCAGCTGCAGCTCAGCGAGCTCGAGGCCAAACTGCGCCGCGAGGAGCTCTCCGAGGTGAGACCCCAAAACCTGGGATGGGGATAAAACACCTGGAAAAGCCTAAAAAACCCTGGGATTTGGGATAAAACACCTGGAAAAGCCTAAAAAACCCTGGGATTTGGGATAAAACACCTGGAAAAGCCTAAAAAACCCTGGGATTTGGGATAAAACACCTGGAAAAGCCTAAAAAACCCTGGGATTTGGGATAAAACACCTGGAAAAGCCTAAAAAACCCTGGGATTTGGGATAAAACACCTGGAAAAGCCTAAAAAACCCTGGGATTTGGGATAAAACACCAGGATTTGGGATGAAACCCCAGGATTTGGGATAAAACCCCAGGAAACCAGGGAAACCCTGGGACTTCACTCAGCTCCCACTTTCCCTGTGGGATTTGGGATCCTGAATCCCTGTGGGATTTGGGATCAAACCCCAGGAAAACCCCGGGATTTGGGCTCAGTCCCCACTTTCTGCTTGGGATTTGGGGTCACGAATCCCTGTGGGATTTGGGATCACACCCTGGGATTTGGCTCAGCCTCCATTTCCCTGTGGGATTTGGGATCACGAATCCCTGTGGGATTTGGGATCACACCCCAGGAAAGCCCCGGGATTTGGGCTCAGTCTCCATTTCCCTGTGGGATTTGGGATCACGAATCCCTGTGGGATTTGGGATCACACCCCAGGAAAGCCCCGGGATTTGGGCTCAGCCCCCACTTTCCCTGTGGGATTTGGGATCACACCCTGGGATTTGGCTCAGCCTCCACTTTCCCTGTGGGATTTGGGATCACGAATCCCTGTGGGATTTGGGATCGCACCCTGGGATTTGGGCTCAGTCTCCATTTCCCTGTGGGATTTAGGATCACTTCCTGGGATTTGGGCTCAGCCTCCATTTCCCTGTGGGATTTGGCATCACTTCCTGGGATTTGGGCTCAGCCTCCATTTCCCTGTGGGATTTGGGATCACACCCTGGAATTTGGGCTCAGCCTCCATTTCCCTGTGGGATTTGGGATCACACCCTGGAATTTGGGCTCAGTCTCCATTTCCCTGTGGGATTTGGGATCACGAATCCCTGTGTGATTTGGGATCACACCCTGGGATTTGGCTCAGCCTCCATTTCCCTGTGGGATTTAGGATCACGAATCCCTGTGGGATTTGGGATCACATCCTGGGATTCATGCTTGGCCCCCACTTTCCCTGTGGGATTTGGGCTCACGAATCCCTGTGGGATTTGGCTCAGCCTCCCCTTTCCCTGTGGGATTTAGGATCACGAATCCCTGTGGGATTTGGCTCAGCCTCCCCTTTCCCTGTGGGATTTAGGATCACGAATCCCTGTGGGATTTGGCTCAGCCTCCCCTTTCCCTGTGGGATTTAGGATCACGAATCCCTGTGGGATTTGGCTCAGCCTCCCCTTTCCCTGTGGGATTTGGGATCACCCCCTGTGGGATTTGGGATCACACCCTGGGATTTGGGATAAAACACCAGGATTTGGGATCAAACCCTGGGATTTGGGCTCAGCCCCCACTTTCCCTGTGGGATTTGGGATCACAAATCCCTGTGGGATTTGGGATCACACCCTGGGATTTGGGCTTGGCCCCCATTTTCCTGTGGGATTTGGGCTCACGAATCCCTGTGGGATTTGGGATCACACCCTGTGGGATTTGGCTCAGCCCCCACTTTCCCTGTGGGATTTGGGATCACACCCCGGGATTGGGGCTCAGCTCCAGGTGACACTTGGAGAACTCCGGGAAAACCCCAGGATTTGGGATAAAACACCAGGATTTGGGATGAAACCCCAGGATTTGGGATAAAACACCAGGATTTGGGATCAAACCCTGGGATTTGGGCTCAGCCCCCACTTTCCCTGTGGGATTTGGGATCACAAATCCCTGTGGGATTTGGGATCACACCCTGGGATTTGGGCTTGGCCCCCATTTTCCTGTGGGATTTGGGCTCACGAATCCCTGTGGGATTTGGGATCACACCCTGGGATTTGGGCTCAGCCCCCACTTTCCCTGTGGGATTTGGGATCACACCCCCGGGATTGGGGCTCAGTCTCCATTTCCCTGTGGGATTTGGGATCGCACCCCGGGATTGGGGCTCAGCTCCAGGTGCTCCCCTCCCCAGGAGCGTTACCTGGCCAAGGTGAAGGCGCTGCTGCACCAGGAGCTCTCGGCCCCCAATGGCTCCGGGGCTCCCAACCCCAACGGGTGCCCCGGGAACGGCGCCTACGGCAGCGACGAGGACGAGGACGGGGCCATGGAGCTCGAGGAGGGGGTGGCAGCGTCCTCGTCCCCGTCCTGCTCCGGCCCCGCCGGGCGGGCGCGGAAATCCCGCAGGAGCCGCTCCAATGGAGATGCCAAAAGTAAGGGTTTGGGGTTTCTGGTGGGATCCACCATTGTTTTCCTGCAGAGTCTCCGGCCAGCTCCCGCGTCACCCGCAGCTCCGGCCGGCAGCCGACCATCCTCAGCCTCCTGTCCAAAGGGTCAGTGGGAAAGGTCACCCTCCTCTTCCTCATCCCACCATCCCAAACCTTTCCCCATTCCCAAAAAAACCCCGTCCCGGGTCGATCCCGCAGATCCAACAAGCGGAAATCGGAGGAGGTCAACGGGGAGATGAAGCCGGAGCTGATGAACGTCGAGAAGGAGGAGGAGGAGCTGGAGGAGAAGGTCGGTGGTGACATCCCAGACCTGTCCCAGGTCTTTTTTGGGGTGATTTCCCAGGATTTTGGTCAGTGGTGACATCCTGGACCTTTCCCAGGTTGTTTTTGGGGTGATTTCCCAGGATTTTGGTCAGTGGTAACATCCCAGACCTGTCCCAGGTCTTTTTTGGGGTGATTTCCCAGGATTTTGGTCAGTGGTAACATCCCAGACCTGTCCTGGGTTGTTTTTGGGGTGATTTCCCAGGATTTTGGTCAGTGGTAACATCCCAGACCTGTCCCAGGTTGTTTTTGGGGTGATTTCCCAGGATTTTAGTCAGTGGTGACATCCTGGGTTGTTTTTGGGGTGATTTCCCAGGATTTTGGTCAGTGGTGACATCCTGGACCTTTCCCAGCTTGTTTTTGGGGTGATTTCCCAGGATTTTGGTCAGTGGTGACATCCCAGACCTGTCCTGGGTTGTTTTTGGGGTGATTTCCCAGGATTTTGGTCAGTGGTAACATCCCAGACCTGTCCTGGGTTGTTTTTGGGGTGATTTCCCAGGATTTTGGTCAGTGGTGACATCCCAGACCTGTCCTGGGTTGTTTTTGGGGTGATTTCCCAGGATTTTGCTCTGTTGTGACATCCTGGGAGGATTTCCCAGGATTTTGGCCACGCTGGGATTGCGTTTTCCTTCTCCTTTTCCCATTTTTTTGCCTTTTTCTCCAGGATCAAGATGAGAAAAGGATGAAAATGGAAACCAAAGATGGGTGAGGAAAAGGGGAACATTCCGGGCCGGAGCCGTGTCCCGGTGACGGTGACAATGACAACGATGACGTCACTGCTCCATCCTCATCCCAGGATTTCATTTTTCCCTCCCAGGTCGGAAATCAAAGATGAAATCCCTCAGGTTAAAATCACTGCTCCTGCTAAAGTAAGTCTCTCCTCATTCCAGTTTTTTTTGGGATTTCTTAATCCCTTAAACTCCCAAATTTTAGGCTTTTTTGGGACGAGTTGATTATTCCAAAGGGTGGATTATCCTATGGGAACACAAACCCATTTCCAGCCCGTTCAGCTTCCCAAAACCAAACAGCTGGGGCTGGTTCTGATGGGAATCCCCAGATCTTGCCGAAATCCAGGATAATTCCAGGAATAACTTTGGGAAAAGCTGACTCTCCCTCCCCTCTCCCGCAGACCACCCCCCCAAAATGCCTCGACTGCCGGCAGTACCTGGACGACCCCGACCTCAAATTCTTCCAAGGGGACCCTGACGACGCCGTAAGGAATCCAAACCCTCCTTCCCCGAGCTCAGGAAAAGCAGGAATATCCCTTAATCCCATTTTTTGGGGTTTTTTTTCCCCCCAAATCCAGCTGGAGGAGCCGGAGATGCTGACGGACGAGCGCTTGTCCATCTTCGACGCCAACGAGGACGGCTTCGAGAGCTACGAGGACCTCCCCCAGCACAAAGTCACCTCCTTCAGGTGAGATCCTGGAGGGGGAATTCCTGCTGGAATTCCCTCTGGAATGGTGTCCCACGCCCTCCTCGTCCCCCCCCGGCAGCGTTTATGACAAGAGGGGACACCTCTGTCCCTTCGACACCGGCCTCATCGAGAGGAACATCGAGCTCTACTTCAGCGGCGTCGTCAAACCCATCTACGACGACAACCCCTGCCTGGACGGTGAGGGAACGCCCGGAATTCCGGGGGATTTTGGGATGCCCGGGTGGGAATTGTCCGGATTTTCTTGCCTTGGCAGGTGGGGTGAGAGCCAAGAAGTTGGGGCCCATCAATGCCTGGTGGATCACGGGCTTCGACGGCGGGGAGAAGGCGCTGATCGGCTTCAGCACAGGTGAGGAGGGGCTTTGGGGGGAATTTGGGGCTTTTTTTGGGTTGGTTTTGGGTTATTTTGGGCTTTTTTGAGGTTTTGGTGGGGAGGGTTTCAGGATTTTTGCCATTTCCCCTCCTTTTTCTCCCTTTTCCTTTCTTCTCCCTTCCTCCTCCTTTTACCCCTTTTTTTCCATTTTTTTTTCTCCCTTTTTTCTCCATTTTCTCTTTCTTTCTTCTTTCATTTTTCTGGTTTTTCTTGTTTTCTTTCGTCTTTTTCTTGTCTCTCTCTTTTTTCCATTTTTTTTCTGTCTTGTCTTTTCTTCTCACCTTTCCCTGGTCTTTTTTGGGGTGATTTCCCAGGATTTTGGTCAGTGGTGACATCCCAGACCTGTCCAAGCTTGTTTTTGGGGTGATTTCCCAGGATTTTGGTCAGTGGTGACATCCCAGACCTGTCCTGGGTTGTTTTTGGGGTGATTTCCCAGGATTTTGGTCAGTGGTGACATCCTGGACCTTTCCCAGCTTGTTTTTGGGGTGATTTCCCAGGATTTTGGTCAGTGGTGACATCCCAGACCTGTCCTGGGGTGCTTTTGGGGGGATTTCCCAGGATTTTGGTCAGTGGTGACATCCCAGACCTGTCCTGGGTTGTTTTTGGGGTGATTTCCCAGGATTTTGGTCAGTGGTGACATCCCAGACCTGTCCTGGGTTGCTTTTGGGGTGATTTCCCAGGATTTTGCTCTGTGGTAACATCCCAGACCTGTCCTGGGTTGTTTTTGGGGTGATTTCCCAGGATTTTGGTCTGTGGTGACATCCTGGACCTGTCCTGGGTTGTTTTTGGGGTGATTTCCCAGGATTTTGTTCAGTGGTGACATCCCAGACCTGTCCTGGGTTGTTTTTGGGGCGATTTCCCAGGATTTTGCTCTGTTGTGACATCCTGGGAGGATTTCCCAGGATTTTGGCCACGCTGGGATTGCGTTTTCCTTCTCCTTTTCCCATTTTTTTGCCTTTTTCTCCAGGATCAAGATGAGAAAAGGATGAAAATGGAAACCAAAGATGGGTGAGGAAAAGGGGAACATTCCCGGCCGGAGCCGTGTCCCGGTGACGGTGACAATGACAACGATGACGTCACTGCTCCATCCTCATCCCAGGATTTCATTTTTCCCTCCCAGGTCGGAAATCAAAGATGAAATCCCTCAGGTTAAAATCACTGCTCCTGCTAAAGTAAGTCTCTCCTCATTCCAGTTTTTTTTGGGATTTCTTAATCCCTTAAACTCCCAAATTTTAGGCTTTTTTGGGACGAGTTGATTATTCCAAAGGGTGGATTATCCTATGGGAACACAAACCCATTTCCAGCCCGTTCAGCTTCCCAAAACCAAACAGCTGGGGCTGGTTCTGATGGGAATCCCCAGATCTTGCCAAAATCCAGGATAATTCCAGGAATAACTTTGGGAAAAGCTGACTCTCCCTCCCCTCTCCCGCAGACCACCCCCCCAAAATGCCTCGACTGCCGGCAGTACCTGGACGACCCCGACCTCAAATTCTTCCAAGGGGACCCTGACGACGCCGTAAGGAATCCAAACCCTCCTTCCCCGAGCTCAGGAAAAGCAGGAATATCCCTTAATCCCATTTTTTGGGGTTTTTTTTCCCCCCAAATCCAGCTGGAGGAGCCGGAGATGCTGACGGACGAGCGCTTGTCCATCTTCGACGCCAACGAGGACGGCTTCGAGAGCTACGAGGACCTCCCCCAGCACAAAGTCACCTCCTTCAGGTGAGATCCTGGAGGGGGAATTCCTGCTGGAATTCCCTCTGGAATGGTGTCCCACGCCCTCCTCGTCCCCCCCGGCAGCGTTTATGACAAGAGGGGACACCTCTGTCCCTTCGACACCGGCCTCATCGAGAGGAACATCGAGCTCTACTTCAGCGGCGTCGTCAAACCCATCTACGACGACAACCCCTGCCTGGACGGTGAGGGAACGCCCGGAATTCCGGGGGATTTTGGGATGCCCGGGTGGGAATTGTCCGGATTTTCTTGCCTTGGCAGGTGGGGTGAGAGCCAAGAAGTTGGGGCCCATCAATGCCTGGTGGATCACGGGCTTCGACGGCGGGGAGAAGGCGCTGATCGGCTTCAGCACAGGTGAGGAGGGGCTTTGGGGGGAATTTGGGGCTTTTTTTGGGTTGGTTTTGGGTTATTTTGGGCTTTTTTGAGGTTTTGGTGGGGAGGGTTTCAGGATTTTTGCCATTTCCCCTCCTTTTTCTCCCTTTTCCTTTCTTCTCCCTTCCTCCTCCTTTTACCCCTTTTTTTCCATTTTTTTTTCTCCCTTTTTTCTCCATTTTCTCTTTCTTTCTTCTTTCATTTTTCTGGTTTTTCTTGTTTTCTTTCGTCTTTTTCTTGTCTCTCTCTTTTTTCCATTTTTTTTCTGTCTTGTCTTTTCTTCTCTTTTGCTTTTCCTCCTTTTTCCTCCTGTTTCCCCTTTATTTTCTTTTTCTCTTTCTTTCCTCCTCTTTCCTTTTTCCTGCTCTTTTCCCCTTTATTTTTTTTCTTTCTTTCTCTTTTCCTTTCTCTTTCTTTCCTCCTCTTTCCTTTTTCCTGCTCTTCTCCCCTTTATTTTTTTTCTTTCTTTCTCTTTTCCTTTCTCTTTCTCTCCTCCTCTTTCCTTTTTCCTGCTCTTCTCCCCTTTATTTTTTTTTCTTTCTTTCTCTTTTCCTTTCTCTTTCTTTCCTCCTCTTTCCTTTTTCCTGCTCTTTTCCCCTTATTTTTTCTTCCCCTTTTTTCCTCCCTTTTTCCTCTTTTTCCTTTATTTTTTCTCTCCTTTTTCCTCCTCTTCCCCTCTTTTCCCCCATTCCTTTCCTCTCCCCTACCCAGAACCCCCCATTTTTTTCCCCAAAATCCCACCATTTTGGGGCTTTTCCCAGCCTTTGCCGACTACATCCTGATGGAGCCGAGCGAGGAGTACGCGCCCACCTTCGCGCTGATGCAGGAGAAGATCTACATGAGCAAGATCGTGGTGGAGTTCCTGCAGAACAACCGCCACGTCAGCTACGAGGACCTGCTCAACAAGATCGAGGTGACAGTGCCACCACCATGTCACCTCCCTGCAGTGTCACCTCCCCATGGTGTCACCTCCCCATCCTGGGGACAATTCCCGCATGGAGAAGATGGGACAAGGGTGGAAATGGGGATGGTGGTGCTGGAGGTGGCACCTGGTCAACAAGATGGAGGTGACAGTGCCACTGCGGTGTCACCTCCCCGTGGTGTCACCTCCCCATCCTGGGGACAATTCCCGCATGGAGAAGATGGGACAAGGGTGGAAATGGGGATGGTGGTGCTGGAGGTGGCACCTGGTCAACAAGATGGAGGTGACAGTGCCACTGCGGTGTCACCTCCCCGTGGTGTCACCTCCCTGCAGTGTCACCTCCCCATGGTGTCACCTCCCCATCCTGGGGACAATTCCCGCATGGAGAAGATGGGACAAGGGTGGAAATGGGGATGGTGGTGCTGGAGGTGGCACCTGGTCAACAAGATGGAGGTGACAGTGCCACTGCGGTGTCACCTCCCCGTGGTGTCACCTCCCTGCAGTGTCACCTCCCCATGGTGTCACCTCCCCATCCTGGGGACAATTCCCGCATGGAGAAGATGGGACAAGGGTGGAAATGGGGATGGTGGTGCTGGAGGTGGCACCTGGTCAACAAGATGGAGGTGACAGTGCCACTGCGGTGTCACCTCCCCGTGGTGTCACCTCCCTGCAGTGTCACCTCCCCATGGTGTCACCTCCCCATCCTGGGGACAATTCCCGCATGGAGAAGATGGGACAAGGGTGGAAATGGGGATGGTGGTGCTGGAGGTGGCACCTGGTCAACAAGATGGAGGTGACAGTGCCACTGCGGTGTCACCTCCCCGTGGTGTCACCTCCCTGCAGTGTCACCTCCCCATGGTGTCACCTCCCCATCCTGGGGACAATTCCCGCATGGAGAAGATGGGACAAGGGTGGAAATGGGGATGGTGGTGCTGGAGGTGGCACCTGGTCAACAAGATGGAGGTGACAGTGCCACTGCGGTGTCACCTCCCCGTGGTGTCACCTCCCTGCAGTGTCACCTCCCCATGGTGTCACCTCCCCATCCTGGGGACAATTCCCGCATGGAGAAGATGGGACAAGGGTGGAAATGGGGATGGTGGTGCTGGAGGTGGCACCTGGTCAACAAGATGGAGGTGACAGTGCCACTGCGGTGTCACCTCCCCGTGGTGTCACCTCCCTGCAGTGTGGGGGAATTTGGGGCTTTTTTTGGGTTGGTTTTGGGTTATTTTGGGCTTTTTTGAGGTTTTGGTGGGGAGGGTTTCAGGATTTTTGCCATTTCCCCTCCTTTTTCTCCCTTTTCCTTTCTTCTCCCTTCCTCCTCCTTTTACCCCTTTTTTTCCATTTTTTTTTCTCCCTTTTTTCTCCATTTTCTCTTTCTTTCTTCTTTCATTTTTCTGGTTTTTCTTGTTTTCTTTCGTCTTTTTCTTGTCTCTCTCTTTTTTCCATTTTTTTTCTGTCTTGTCTTTTCTTCTCTTTTGCTTTTCCTCCTTTTTCCTCCTGTTTCCCCTTTATTTTCTTTTTCTCTTTCTTTCCTCCTCTTTCCTTTTTCCTGCTCTTTTCCCCTTTCCTCCTCTTTCTTTTTTCCTGTTCTTCCCCCTTTTTTTTTTCTTTCTTTCTCTTTTCCTTTCTCTTTCTTTCCTCCTCTTTCCTTTTTCCTGCTCTTCTCCCCTTTATTTTTTTTCTTTCTTTCTCTTTTCCTTTCTCTTTCTTTCCTCCTCTTTCCTTTTTCCTGCTCTTTTCCCCTTATTTTTTCTTCCCCTTTTTTCCTCCCTTTTTCCTCTTTTTCCTTTATTTTTTCTCTCTTTTTTCCTCCTCTTCCCCTCTTTTCCCCCATTCCTTTCCTCTCCCCTACCCAGAACCCCCCATTTTTTTCCCCAAAATCCCACCATTTTGGGGCTTTTCCCAGCCTTTGCCGACTACATCCTGATGGAGCCGAGCGAGGAGTACGCGCCCACCTTCGCGCTGATGCAGGAGAAGATCTACATGAGCAAGATCGTGGTGGAGTTCCTGCAGAACAACCGCCACGTCAGCTACGAGGACCTGCTCAACAAGATCGAGGTGACAGTGCCACCACCATGTCACCTCCCTGCAGTGTCACCTCCCCATGGTGTCACCTCCCCATCCTGGGGACAATTCCCGCATGGAGAAGATGGGACAAGGGTGGAAATGGGGATGGTGGTGCTGGAGGTGGCACCTGCTCAACAAGATGGAGGTGACAGTGCCACTGTGGTGTCACCTCCCCATGGTGTCACCTCCCTGCAGTGTCACCTCCCCATGGTGTCACCTCCCCATCCTGGGGACAATTCCCGCATGGAGAAGATGGGACAAGGGTGGAAATGGGGATGGTGATGCTGGAGGTGGCACCTGCTCAACAAGATGGAGGTGACAGTGCCACTGTGGTGTCACCTCCCCGTGGTGTCACCTCCCCATGGTGTCACCTCCCTGCAGTGTCACCTCCCCGTGGTGTCACCTCCCCATCCTGGGGACAATTCCCGCATGGAGAAGATGGGACAAGGGTGGAAATGGGGATGGTGATGCTGGAGGTGGCACCTGGTCAACAAGATGGAGGTGACAGTGCCACTGCGGTGTCACCTCCCCGCGGTGTCACCTCCCCATGGTGTCACTTCCTCCTCCTGGGGACTATTCCCCTGTGGAAAAGATGGGATGGGGTCAGCAGGAGGAGGAGGAGGAGGAGGTGGCACCAGCTCAATAAATTTGAGGTGACAGTGCCACTGTGGTCAACCCCAACCATTCCAAACCATCCCCAACCGTTCCAAACCATCTCCAACCATTCCAGACTATCTCCAACCGTTCCAAACCATCCCCAACCATTCCAAACCATTCCAGACCATCTCCAACCATTCCAAACCATCCTCAACCGTTCCAAACCATCCCCAACCATTGCAAACCATCTCAACCATTCCCAACCATTCCCAAGCATTGGAATGGGTGGTCTGGAGAGGGGTCAATGGCCATGCCCAGCCGTTCCCAACCATTCCCAACCATCCCCAACCATTCCCAACCATCTCCAGCCCTTCCCAACCATTCCCAGCCATCCCCAACCATCCCAAACCATTCCAAACCATCTCCAGCACTTCCCAACCATTCCCAACCATTCCCAACCATCTCCAGCTCTTCCCAACCATCCCCAACCATTCCCAACCATCTCCAGCCCTTCCCAACCATCCCAAACCATTCCCAACCATCTCCAGCCATTCCCAACCATTCCCAACCATCCCCAACCATTCCCAACCATCTCCAGCCCTTCCCAACCATTCCCAACCATCTCCAGCCCTTCCCAACCATCCCCAGCCCTTCTCAACCATCTCCAGCCCTTCCCAACCATTCCAAACCATCCCCAACCATTCCCAACCATCTCCAGCCCTTCCCAACCATCCCCAACCATTCCCAACCATCCCCAACCATTCCCAACCATCTCCAGCCCTTCCCAACCATCCCCAGCCCTTCTCAACCATCTCCAGCCCTTCCCAACCATTCCAAACCATCCCCAACCATTCCCAACCATCTCCAGCCCTTCCCAACCATCCCCAACCATTCCCAACCATCTCCAGCCCTTCCCAACCATTCCCAGCCATCCCCAACCATCCCAAACCATTCCAAACCATCTCCAGCCCTTCCCAACCATCCCAGCCGTTCCCAACCTTGATGACCTTTGGAATGGGCGATCTGGGGAGGGGTCAGCTGCCATTTCTGGCCATCTCCAACTCATCCCAACCCTTCCCAAATTCCCCCAGACCACGGTGCCGCCGGCGGGGCTCAACTTCAACCGTTTCACGGAGGACTCGCTGCTGCGCCACGCCCAGTTCGTGGTGGAGCAGGTGGAGAGCTACGACGAGGCCGGCGACAGCGACGAGCCCCCGGTGCTCATCACGCCCTGCATGAGGGACCTCATCAAGCTGGCCGGGGTCACCCTGGGCAAGAGGTGAGGTTTGGGGGCAAAAAACCCAAAATCAGGAAAATCCGACCAAAATTTGGGAGGGTTTGGGCTCTGGGGTCTCAATGTTGGGGAAATCGGCCCAAAATTGGGGATTCTCATGCTGGGCATGAGGGACCTTGTGAAGCTGGGTGAGGTCACCCTGGGCAGGAGGTGAGGTTTGGGGGCAAAAACCCTAAAATCAGAAAAATCCAACCAAAATTTGGGAAGAGAGACCTCAAAAGTAAGAGAATTTGCTCAAAAGTGGGGAGGGTTTGGGTTCTGTGACCACAAAATTGGGAGAGTCCAACCAAAAATTGGGAAAATCTTCCCAAAACTGGTGAGGATTTGGGTTCAGTGGCATGAGAAGTACTGGGAATCAGAGCAGAAACCCTCCCAAAATTGGGAAGATCCTCCCAAAACTGGGAGAATTCTCCCAAAATTGGGAAGATGCTCCCAAGATCACAAAAACCCTCCCAAAATTGGGAAGATCCTCCCAAAACTGGGAGAATTCTCCCAAAATTGGGAAGATGCTCCCAAGATCACAAAAACCCTCCCAAAATTGGGAAGATCCTCCCAAAATTGGGCAAACTCAAACCTGGTGCTGCTCCAGAGGGGGAAGGACGCCGGGTTGGGTCCCCAAAATCTATCCACACCTTTTGGGGACCCCACCTGGTACCTGTGGGGGTCCCTTGGGTGTCCCCGGGGTGGTGTCCCCGTCCCCGGGCGTGGCCTGAGCGCTGTCCCCGTGCCGCAGGCGAGCCGTGCGGCGCCAGGCCATCCGCCACCCCACGCGCATCGACAAGGACAAGGGTCCCACCAAGGCCACCACCACCAAGCTGGTGTACCTCATCTTCGACACCTTCTTCTCGGAGCAGATCGAGAAGGACGAGCGCGAGGAGGACAAGGAGAACGCCACCAAGCGCCGGCGCTGCGGCGTCTGCGAGGTGACCGAGGGTCACCAGCAGTGGGGCGGGGATGGGTTGGTGTTGGAGGGTCTTTCAGCCTTGGTCAATGTCAGTGTCATGGACTGGGTTGGGTTGGTTGGTCTTGAAGGACTGCCAATGTTGGCCAACATCAGCGTCATGGGTTGGGTTGGTTGGTCTTGAAGGGTTCTCAGTGTTGGCCAACATCAGCGTCATGGGTTGGGTTGGTTGGTCTTGAAGGGTTCTCAGTGTTGGCCAACATCAGCGTCATGGGTTGGGTTGGTTGGTCTTGAAGGGTTCTCAGTGTTGGCCAACATCAGCGTCATGGGTTGGGTTGGTTGGTCTTGAAGGGTTCTCAGTGTTGGCCAACATCAGCGTCATGGGTTGGGTTGGTTGGTCTTGAAGGGTTCTCAGTGTTGGCCAACATCAGCGTCATGGGTTGGGTTGGTTGGTCTTGAAGGGTTCTCAGTGTTGGCCAACATCAGCGTCATGGGTTGGGTTGGTTGGTCTTGAAGGGTTCTCAGTGTTGGCCAACATCAGCGTCATGGGTTGGGTTGGTTGGTCTTGAAGGGTTCTCAGTGTTGGCCAACATCAGCGTCATGGGTTGGGTTGGTTGGTCTTGAAGGGTTCTCAGTGTTGGCCAACATCAGCGTCATGGGTTGGGTTGGTTGGTCTTGAAGGGTTCTCAGTGTTGGCCAACATCAGCGTCATGGGTTGGGTTGGTTGGTCTTGAAGGGTTCTCAGTGTTGGCCAACATCAGCGTCATGGGTTGGGTTGGTTGGTCTTGAAGGGTTCTCAGTGTTGGCCAACATCAGCGTCATGGGTTGGGTTGGTTGGTCTTGAAGGACTGCCAGTGTTGGCCAACATCAGCATCACGGGTTGGGTTGGTTGGTCTTGAAGGGTTCTCAGTGTTGGCCAACATCAGCGTCATGGGTTGGGTTGGTTGGTCTTGAAGGTGTCTTCCAGTCTTGGCCAACATCACCTCCCTGGGTTGGGTTGGCTGATCTTGGGGAGTTTTCCAGTCTTGGTCAATGTTATTGTCATGGGTTGGGTTGATCTTGGAGGGCTTTTCCAGCTTGGTCAATGCCAATGTCAATGTCATGGGTTGGGTTGGTTGGTTTTGGAAGATCTTCCAACCTTGCTCAACATCAACATCACGAGTTGGTTGAGTTGATCATGGAGGAGCGTTCCTGGTGTCACCGGTGTCCCCTGTCCCGTGCCAGGTGTGCCAGCAGCCCGAGTGTGGCAAGTGCAAGGCGTGCCAGAACATGGTCAAGTTCGGGGGCAGCGGCCGCAGCAAGCAGGCGTGTCTGCAGAGGAGGTGGGTGGCCCTGTCCCAATGTCCCTGTCCCCAAACCCCGCTGTCCCCATCCCTGAGCCCCCGGTGACATCCCTGGCGACGTCCCAGGTGTCCCAACCTGGCGGTGCGGGAGGCGGATGAGGATGAGGAGGTCGATGACAACATCCCCGAGATGCCCTCGCCCAAGAAGATGCTGCAGGGCCGCAAGAAGAAGCAGAACAAGAGCCGGATCTCCTGGGTTGGGGAGCCCATCAAGGTGAGGCACCTGGGCAGGTGAGGGGGCCTGGAAAGGTGAGGGGACATGGCCAGGTGAGGGGAACCCATCCCGGTGAGGGCCCCATCCAAGTGAGGGAACCCATCCAGATGAGGGGAATCCATCCAGGTGAGGGAGCCCATCCAGGTGAGGACGCCCATCCAAGTGAGGGAGCCCATCCAGGTGAGGACGCCCATCCAGGTGAGGAAGCCCATCCAAGTGAGGGAGCCCATCCAGGTGAGGGAACCCATCCAGGTGAGGAAGCCCATCCAAGTGAGGGAGCCCATCCAGGTGAGGGAACCCATCCAGGTGAGGGCCCCATCCAGGTGAGGGAGCCCATGCAGGTGAGGGAACCCATCCAGGTGAGGGAGCCCATCCAGGTGAGGGAGCCCATCCAGGTGAGAGCCCATCCAGGTGAGGGCCCCATCCAAGTGAGGGAGCCCATCCAGGTGGGGAACCCTCCCAGGTGAGGGGGGCCCCTCCCGCGGAGGGGAACCCATCCAGGTGAGGGAGCCCATCCAGGTGAGGAAGCCCATCCAGGTGAGGAAGCCCATCCAGGTGAGGGAGCCCATCCAGGTGAGGGAGCCCATCCAGGTGAGGGCCCCATCCAGGTGGGGCCGGTACCTGTAACGGCCCCGTGCCCCGGCAGAGCGACGGCAAGAAGGATTATTACCAACGAGTCTGCATCGACTCCGAGACGCTGGAGGTGGGCGACTGCGTGTCCGTGAGCCCCGACGACCCCACCAAGCCCCTCTACCTGGCCAGGTGGGTTCTCCATTCTCCCATGGGGTGGGGACATCCCTGATGATCCCCCCAAGCCAGGTGGGTTCTCCCTACTCCCGTGGGGTGGGGACATGGGGACACCTCCAATGATCCCACCAAGCCAGGTGGGGTCTCCCTCCTCCCGTGGGTTGGGGACCTCCCTCATGATCCCACCAAGCCAGGTGGGGTCTCCCTCCTCCCGTGGGTTGGGGACCTCCCTCATGATCCCACCAAGCCAGGTGGGGTCTCCCTCCTCCCGTGGGTTGGGGACCTCCCTCATGATCCCACCAAGCCAGGTGGGGTCTCCCTACTCCCGTGGGTTGGGGACATCCCTCATGATCCCACCAAGCCAGGTGGGTTCTCCCTACCCCTGTGGGTTGGGAACATCCCTGATGATCCCACCAAGCCAGGTGGGTTCTCCCTACTCCCGTGGGTTGGGGACATGGGGACACCTCCAATGATCCCACCAAGCCAGGTGGGTTCTCCCTTCCCCTGTGGGTTGGGAACATCCCTGATGATCCCCCCAAGCCAGGTGGGTTCTCCCTTCCCCTGTGGGTTGGGAACATCCCTGATGATCCCACCAAGCCAGGGGTGTTCTCCTTGCACCCATGGGGTTGGGGACACAGGGACGTCCCCTCTCACACCTCGGCGCCCCTCAGGGTGACGGCCATGTGGGAGGACAGCAGTGGCCAGATGTTCCACGCCCACTGGTTCTGCCCGGGCTCGGACACCGTCCTGGGGGCCACCTCGGACCCTCTGGAGCTGTTCCTGGTGGACGAGTGCGAGGACATGCAGCTGTCCTACATCCACGGCAAGGTCAACGTCATCTACAAGGCGCCCTCGGACAACTGGGCCATGGAGGTGGGGACAGCGCCGCGGGGTCCGGCCGGTGCCGGTCAGCGCGGCCGATGCCGGCCACCCCGCTGGTTTTGTCCTTCAGGGCGGGCTGGACACGGAGATCAAGATGGTGGAAGACGATGGGAGGACCTACTTCTACCAGATGTGGTACGACCAGGAGTACGCGCGCTTCGAGAGCCCGCCCGACGCGCAGCCCACCGAGGACAACAAGTACAAGTCAGTTTTTGGGTGGAAAACCTGAAATTTTGGGTTCTTCCCGCCCCAAAAATGGATTTTTTTGGAGAACGTGGTGATGTTCCAGCAGGTTCTGCTTGAGCTGCGCACGCCTGGACGAGGTGAGGCACAAGGAGATCCCCAAGGTGGCCGAGCCGCTGGAGGAGGCCGATGGCAAGATGTTCTACGCCGTGGCCACCAAGAACGGCGTCCAGTACCGGGTGGGGGACGGCGTCTACCTGCTGCCAGACGCCTTCTCCTTCAGGTGGGTTTGGGGACCTCACCTTTGGGGTGGGATTCGGGGATTTTTGGGGTCTTCCCACCTGTAAATGGAGGTCTGGTGTCCTGAAGTTCCAGAAGTTTGGCATCAGAATTACCCCAGATTTGGTTTTCGGTTGTTTGATTGGGAGGTGGCTCTGGTGGGATGATGTGTTTTGGGGGCAAATTGGAATTTGGGAATTGCAGGATCGGAGAATTCAAGTTGGGAGATCCCTCTGAGATTCCAAATTTTAACCCAATTTTGGGGGGTAAATTGTAATTATGGAGTTAAGGCTCTAAAACCTCTCCAAGATCTCTCAATTCCAACTCTTAACCCAACTTTTGAAAAAAAAAAATTGGAATCAAGGCTGGAAAACCCACAAGATCTTTCAGTTCCGAATCTTGACCCAACTTCTGGTGGACAAATTGGAATTATGGAATCATAGAACCAATTAAAGTTAGGAGACCCAGCCAAGATCCCTGAATTCCAAACCTTCACCCAACTTTTGGTGAACAATTTGGAATCAAGGCTGGAAAACCCTTCCAGGATCTCTTAATTCCACATCTTCACCCAACTTTTGGTGAACAAATTGGAATCAAGGCTGGAAAACCCTTCCAGGATCTCTTAATTCCACATCTTCACCCAACTTTTGGTGAACAATTTGGGATCAAGGCTGGAAGACCCCTCCATAATCCCTGAATTCCAAACCTTCACCCAACTTTTGGTGAACAATTTGGAATCAAGGCTGGAAAACCCTTCCAGGATCTCTTAATTCCACATCTTCACCCAACTTTTGGTGGACAAATTGGAATTATGGAATTAAAGAACCAGTTAAGGTTAGAAGACCCCTCCAAGATTCCTCGATTCTTACTGTTCACCCAAATTTTGAGAAAAAAAAAATCGGGGTCAAGGCTAGAAAACTCCTGCAAGCTCCCTCAAGTCTAAATCTTCACCCAAATTTTGACATAAAAACTGGGGTCAAAGCTGGAAAACCCCACAAAATCCTCCAATTCCAAATCTTCACCCAACTTCCGGTGCACAAACCGCACTCAAGGCTGGCAAACCCCCTCCAAGACCCTTCCAACTCCACCCTCCCAAACTCCACGTCCCGACGTTTTTCGGGACGTTTCTCCCCGATTTCCCCAGCGTGAAGCCGGCCAGCCCGGCCAAGAGGCCCAAGAAGGAGGCGGTGGACGAGGAGCTGCACCCCGAGCACTACCGGAAGTACTCGGAGTACATCAAGGGCAGCAACCTGGACGCGCCCGACCCGTTCCGCGTGGGCCGCATCAAGAGCATCTTCTGCAGCCTGCGCGGCAACGGCAAGCCCAACGAGGCCGACATCAAACTCTGCATCTACAAGTTCTACAGGTGCCAAATCCGGGGGTTTTTTTGGGGGGATTTAGGGGGCTGGGAAGGTTTGGAGTTGGTGGTGAAAGCGGGGCTTGGTGTGGTGGCCCAAATCTTCGGAGGTTCTTGGTTGACTTCCCAACTTGGACGATCCTTGTTGGACCTTCCCAGTTGGAAGAACTCTCACAGAATTGGGAGGATTGTCCCAAGCTTGGCCTCAAAATCGGGAATTTTGTCCCCGGTTCTATGAGGGTTTCCAAAATTGGGAAAATGCTGCCAAAATTTGATGAGGATTTGGGGTCGGTGGCGTGAGCAGTGCTGGGAATTGGGGTAGAAATCCATGGACTTGGAGAATCCTGATGGGACATCTTTGGATGTCTTTGGACTTCTTTGGATGCCTTTGGGGTTTTTTGGGTATCTTTGGAGATTTTGGGAGGTTTTTGGATGTCCTGGCATGTCTTGAAATGTCTTTGGATGTCTCTGGATGCCTTTGGGGTTTTTTGGGTATCTTCGGAGATTTTGGGACATTTTTGGATGTCTTGAGATGTCTTTGGACTTCTTTGGATGCCTTTGGGGTTTTTTGGGTATCTTCGGAGATTTTGGGACATTTTTGGATGTCTTGAGATGTCTTTGGACTTCTTTGGATGCCTTTGGGGTTTTTTGGGTATCTTCGGAGATTTTGGGACATTTTTGGATGTCTTGAGATGTCTTTGGACTTCTTTGGATGCCTTTGGGGTTTTTTGGGTATCTTCGGAGATTTTGGGACATTTTTGGATGTCCTGGCATGTCTTTAGATGTCTTTGGACTTCTTTGGGTGCCTTTGGGGTTTTTTGGGTATCTTTGGAGATTTTGGGATGTTTTTGGATGTCTTGAGATGTTTTTGGACTTCTTTGGATTTTTTTTTTTTTGTATCTTTGGCTTTTTTGGGACCTTTTTGGATGTCCTGGCATGTCTTTAGATGTCTCTGGACTTCTTTGGGTGCCTTTGGGGTTTTTTGGGTATCTTTGGAGATTTTGGGACATTTTTGGATGTCTTGAGATGTTTTTGGACTTCTTTGGATTTTTTTTTTTTTGTATCTTTGGCTTTTTTGGGACCTTTTTGGATGTCCTGGCATGTCTTTAGATGTCTCTGGACTTCTTTGGGTGCCTTTGGGGTTTTTTGGGTATCTTTGGAGATTTTGGGACATTTTTGGATGTCTTGAGACGTCTTTGGATTTCTTTGGCCTTCTTTGGATGCCTTTGGGGTTTTTTTGGGTATCTTTGGAGATTTTGGTACAGTTTTGGATGTCTTGAGACGTCTTTGGATTTCTTTGCCCTTCTTTGGATGTCGTGGGACGTCTTTGGACATCTTGGGACATTTTTGGCCAACTCTTGATGCCTCAAGCTCCCTTAAAACCCTTTTCCCCCAATCCACTCCCCATCCCACCCCCAATCTTCCCTCCATCCCACCCAAAATCCCCTCTCCAAACCCCAACCCCACCGAGAGGAGGACCCACCTCGCTGTTGTCCCCTAATCCCGGCGTTTTCCCGGGAATCTCCAGGCCTGAGAACACCCACAAGTCCACCAAGGCGAGCTACCACGCCGACATCAACCTGCTCTACTGGAGCGACGAGGAGGCCACCGTGGAGTTCCGGGCGGTCCAGGGCCGCTGCTCCGTGGTCTACGGCGAGGACCTGACCGAGAGCATCCAGGACTACTCGGCCGGCGGCCTGGACCGCTTCTACTTCCTGGAGGTGAGGCAACGGGAATTCCAGGGGGAGAGGAGGGGTCTGGAGACACCAGGGATGGAGCAAAGTTGAGGTTCTGGGTGGTTTTCCATGGAAGGGCTTGGATTTGGGGCCGGTTCTGAGATTTTGGGGAGCGAATCTTGGGTACTGAACTGGGGTTTTCAAGGATCTGGATGAATTCCTGGAGGTCTGGAGGCACCAGGGATGGAGAAAAGTGGGGGTTTTGGTGTCTCCAGGTGGGTTTTCCATGGAGGACATGGATTTGGGGCCGGTTCTGAGATTTTGGGGTGTGAATCTTTGGTGCTAAACTGGGGTTTCAAAAGATCTGGATGAGTTCCTGGAGGTCTGGAGACACCAGGGATGGAGCAAAGTTGAGGTTCTGGGTGGTTTTCCATGGAAGGGCTTGGATTTGGGGCCGGTTCTGAGATTTTGGGGTGTGAATCTTTGGTGCTAAACTGGGGTTTCAAAAGATCTGGATGAGTTCCTGGAGGTCTGGAGACACCAGGGATGGAGAAAAGTGGGGGTTTTGGTGTCTGCAGGTGGGTTTTCCATGGAAGGGCTTGGATTTGGGGCCGGTTCTGAGATTTTGGGGTGTGAATCTTTGGTGCTAAACTGGGGTTTCAAAAGATCTGGATGAATTCCTGGAGGTCTGGAGACACCAGGGATGGAGAAAAGTGGGGGTTTTGGTGTCTCCAGGTGGGTTTTCCATGGAGGACATGGATTTGGGGCCGGTTCTGAGATTTTGGGGTGTGAATCTTTGGTGCTAAACTGGGGTTTCAAAAGATCTGGATGAGTTCCTGGAGGTCTGGATGCACCAGGGATGGAGCAAAGTTGAGGTTCTGGGTGGTTTTCCATGGAAGGGTTTGGATTTGGGGCCGGTTCTGAGATTTTGGGGAGCGAATCTTGGGTACTGAACTGGGGTTTCAAGGATCTGGATGAGTTCCTGGAGGTCTGGATGAGTTCCTGGAGATCTGGATGAGTTCCTTGAGGTCTGGAGGCACCAGGGATGAAGTAAATTTGGGGTTCTGGTGTCTGCAGGTGGGTTTTCCATGGAGGACATGGATTTGGGGCCGGTTCTGAGATTTTGGGGTGTGAATCTTTGGTGCTAAACTGGGGTTTCAAAAGATCTGGATGAGTTCCTGGAGGTCTGGATGAGTTCCTGGAGATCTGGATGGGTTCCTGGAGGTCTGGATGAGTTCCTGGAGATCTGGATGGGTTCCTGGAGGTCTGGATGAGTTCCTGGAGATCTGGATGGGTTCCTGGAGGTCTGGATGAGTTCCTGGAGATCTGGATGGGTTCCTGGAGGTCTGGATGAGTTCCTGGAGATCTGGATGGGTTCCTGGAGGTCTGGATGAGTTCCTGGAGATCTGGATGGGTTCCTGGAGGTCTGGATGAGTTCCTGGAGATCTGGATGGGTTCCTGGAGGTCTGGATGAGTTCCTGGAGATCTGGATGGGTTCCTGGAGGTCTGGATGAGTTCCTGGAGATCTGGATGGGTTCCTGGAGGTCTGGATGAGTTCCTGGAGATCTGGATGGGTTCCTGGAGGTCTGGAGACACCAGGGATGGAGAAAAGTTGCCTTCTGGTGAAATGGGGATTTTTTTGTTTCCTTTTTTTTCCAGGCTTACAACGCCAAAACCAAGAGCTTTGAGGATCCTCCCAACCACGCCCGGAGCTCTGGGAACAAAGGGAAGGGGAAGGGGAAAGGGAAAGGTGAGGCTGGGAAAGGTGGAAAAAGGGTGGAAAAAGGGTGGAAAGCTGGTGGGAAAAGGGCAGGGAAAGGGATGGGAAAAGGGGCAGGAATGGGTGGGAAAAGACAGGAAAAGGGGCAGAAAAAGGGGTGGAAAAGGGGCAGAAAAAGGGGTGGAAAAGGGGCAGAAAATGGGGTGGAAAAGGGGCAGAAAAAGGGGTGGAAAAGGGGCAGAAAAAGGGGTGGAAAAGGGGCAGAAAATGGGTAAAAAAGGGGCTGAAAATGGGTAAAAAAGTGGCTGAAAATGGGGTAAAAAAGTGGCTGAAAATGGGGTGGAAAAGGGGCTGAAAAATGAGGTGGAAAAGGGGCAAAAAATGGGGTGGAAAGGGGGCGGAAAAATGGGGTGGAATAGGGGCAGAAAATGGGTAAAAAAGGGGGCAGAAAAAGGGGTGGAAAAGGGGCAGAAAATGGGGTGGAAAAGGGGCAAAAAATGGGGTGGAAAGGGGGCAGAAAATGGGTAAAAAAGGGGGCAGAAAAAGGGGTGGAAAAGGGGCAGAAAATGGGGTGGAAAAGGGGCAAAAAATGGGGTGGAAAGGGGGCAGAAAATGGGTAAAAAAGGGGGCAGAAAAAGGGGTGGAAAAGGGGCAGAAAATGGGGTGGAAAAGGGGCAAAAAATGGGGTGGAAAGGGGGCAGAAAATGGGTAAAAAAGGGGGCAGAAAAAGGGGTGGAAAAGGGGCAGAAAATGGGGTGGAAAAGGGGCAAAAAATGGGGTGGAAAGGGGGCAGAAAATGGGTAAAAAAGGGGGCAGAAAAAGGGGTGGAAAAGGGGCAGAAAATGGGGTGGAAAAGGGGCAAAAAATGGGGTGGAAAGGGGGCAGAAAATGGGTAAAAAAGGGGGCAGAAAAAGGGGTGGAAAAGGGGCAGAAAATGGGGTGGAAAAGGGGCAAAAAATGGGGTGGAAAGGGGGCAGAAAATGGGTAAAAAAGGGGGCAGAAAAAGGGGTGGAAAAGGGGCAGAAAATGGGGTGGAAAAGGGGCAAAAAATGGGGTGGAAAGGGGGCAGAAAATGGGTAAAAAAGGGGGCAGAAAAAGGGGTGGAAAAGGGGCAGAAAATGGGGTGGAAAAGGGGCAAAAAATGGGGTGGAAAGGGGGCAGAAAATGGGTAAAAAAGGGGGCAGAAAAAGGGGTGGAAAAGGGGCAGAAAATGGGGTGGAAAAGGGGCAAAAAATGGGGTGGAAAGGGGGCAGAAAATGGGTAAAAAAGGGGGCAGAAAAAGGGGTGGAAAAGGGGCAGAAAATGGGGTGGAAAAGGGGCAAAAAATGGGGTGGAAAGGGGGCAGAAAATGGGTAAAAAAGGGGGCAGAAAAAGGGGTGGAAAAGGGGCAGAAAATGGGGTGGAAAAGGGGCAAAAAATGGGGTGGAAAGGGGGCAGAAAATGGGTAAAAAAGGGGGCAGAAAAAGGGGTGGAAAAGGGGCAGAAAATGGGGTGGAAAAGGGGCAAAAAATGGGGTGGAAAGGGGGCAGAAAATGGGTAAAAAAGGGGGCAGAAAAAGGGGTGGAAAAGGGGCAGAAAATGGGGTGGAAAAGGGGCAAAAAATGGGGTGGAAAGGGGGCAGAAAATGGGTAAAAAAGGGGGCAGAAAAAGGGGTGGAAAAGGGGCAGAAAATGGGGTGGAAAAGGGGCAAAAAATGGGGTGGAAAGGGGGCAGAAAATGGGTAAAAAAGGGGGCAGAAAAAGGGGTGGAAAAGGGGCAGAAAATGGGGTGGAAAAGGGGCAAAAAATGGGGTGGAAAGGGGGCAGAAAATGGGTAAAAAGGGGGCAGAAAATGGGGTGGAAAAGGGGCTGAAAAATGAGGTGGAAAAGGGGCTGAAAAATGGGATGGAAAAGGGGCAGAAAATGGGTAAAAAAGGGGCAGAAAATGGGGTGGAAAGGGGGCAGAAAAGGGGTAAAAAAATGGGTAAAAACATGGCAGAAAAAGGGTAAAAAAGGGTGTGGGAGGTGCTGGATGACCAGAGGAGGAGGAGGAAGAGCAGGGACTGAGCCGTGCCCGGCCGGGGTTTTGCAGGGAAGGGCAAAGGGAAGGCGGCGAGCGCGGAGCGGAGCGAGCAGCGGCCGGCCGCGCCGCGGGCGCCCAAGCTCAGGACGCTGGACGTGTTCTCCGGCTGTGGCGGCCTCTCCGAGGGCTTCCACCAGGCAGGTGAGGGCCGGCTCCTGGAGCTGGGGCTGGGGAAGGTTGGGAAGGGTCTCACAGGTCTGGAGCTGGGGAAGGTTGGGAAGGGTCTCACGGGTCTGGCCGAGCCGTGCCCGGCCGGGGTTTTGCAG